GTTAGCACGACCCTCTTCCTCTCCCACGAAGCTCTTCCTTCTTCGTCTTCTTTCCCGGCGCGATGCTCTCGCCTATGAAACTTCCGATTCTTTTCCCCTTTCGGGATTGCCCTGTGCATCAAAAGTTTGGTTCTGGGTCTGTTCAGAGACCGCACTTCGAAGACCCTCACCGAACCATGGTTCTTTTGTCAATCCCCAAATTGAGCCTCTTGCAGATTTCCGGGCAATAGCAAGAGCAGGATCTCGAGACAGGGTCCTTTCAGATCTGTTATTCTGGCGCTATGTTTCGTCTACATCAAACGCATTGCCTCTCTTGGATATAGCCGCGCCGAAGAGAAACCTTTCCCGTCCTGCACGATCCTGCACCTGTGAGACTCTCGCTGGATACCCTCATGTGGGTGTCTGCACTCTGCTTTTTTTGTGAAGTTGGCGCTTTGGCTGTGCTAGGTCGGATCTTCACTGCCTTCGTCTGAAGTTGATCAATTAGTCCGAATTTTGGATGCTGGCTAATACCTCAGTCCTTGTGTTGCCTGGGGACGGGGAAAGCACTGACGGCCGGCGGTTTCCGTGAGCAGAATGGAAAAACAAAAGGGCAGAGAGTCGACTTACCTTGGCTGTCATGTGCAAGTTGTGCTCGATGCGGGTAGATTGAGTACATGCAAGTGTATGTATGTAGGTCTCGGCAACCACTGTACCGACTGACATCGAGAAAAAGAGACCTTGACGATTCCACAAGGCTAACGTGGGTGAGCTGGAAAGGGGGCCAAGCTTTAATTGAATCCCATTCGGAACCTGGCATTCTTTAGGCGAGGCCCAGGTTTTCTCGAATTGTGTTTTTGCGAGCCGTCACTCTTTAAAGCGTGGTAGGATTCGGTGATCTTTTCTGTTTCTGCTCCAGCCCCATCTCTCGGCTCGTCTGCCCGTCTTCGCCCTTGGCCCAGTGGACGGCATAATGTGAACGAACCATACAGCATAAACTATATTCGGTCAGGAATAGAAACGCCGAAACCAGGACATCTCGGGCTAAACCAGATCGACAACTGGGGCCGAACACCACATGCCTCACAGGGTATTACCACTTCGTATTCTTAGTCTCTGCGACTATGAGAGGAGTGGACTGGGAGTGGACTGGACAGGAAAACCTTAGTCTTTGCAGTTGCAGGACGCTACTGTACGAATTGAGGGCCTGGCCCTTCAGATACCGTACCAATGTTTATTATCCAGTCGCTCGCATTTCATCGATGAGCGGCTATACTTGACAAATTATTGCCTACATCAAGTCTGGCTCGCTCATCCCTGATAATTACCTTCGAGCTGCACGCAAAGCTCAAGACCGCGAGGAACGTAGACAGTGAGTGAACTCAATTCAAGCTGATATCATCCCTCTTTAAGGGGTATCGATGGGTATTACTTTCGAAGCACTCACCGAACTCCCGTCTTTCGGTTGTCTTTTAACCAACGAAAGAAACGTATCCAGAGCGTTGTGTTATGTAGTATGCTGGGTTTGTTGGTCTGGCTCAGAGGGGAAGGGGGTGCAGCAACAGGGAATCCCAGCCAACCCCTTGACACACACGGGTTCGAATTTATCCCCTTTTACCCACTTCCTCTAAATGGTCAGTATCTTAATGTGTTAACTTGGGAAACGCAGATGGTTGTCGCCGTGCTTCATCGTTTCTCATATTAGTAGGTATTATTATGAAAAGAAACATGCGGTAGGAGAAGCCTGGTACAAGAGGAGTTAGTACATCCTCATGCATCCGAGGCAATCCTTCTCGGTGATGATTTTCTGTGTTTGGTCTCTTCCAATACGACAGAAACGCAAACGCTTGCCTTGTGCTCTCCACTAGTGTCGTAATAGCCCTTCGGAGATTTACAGAAGAAAAAAAGTTTGAGGAGGTCGTATGAATTCAAGCTACACTTAGCTTAGGTCCCATCGGGAAAGGAACCACTCCGAGGGGGGACCGGGGCGATCATCCTCCTCCCCAGCAGTTTCTGATGGCCTAGGTTCGGTCCTTTCAAGGGGTGTTCCCGCGTCTTCTCTGAGCTCTGGCCCGTGTCCCGAGGGCACACCCCCGGCCGGACCCTTAGGTCTGGCTTGTTGTCCCAGAATGCTCGGGTAATATGAGCTGGATCAGGAAGGCGACGCTCGTCGTTCGAGAAATGATGCGAGGGCGCTGTCGAAGCACAGAGTCAAAAAATTCAGAGCTCCTTGATTTGGGGGGATCAATTGTATCGCCTGGCAAGGTGTGTTAGAAGCAAAGGTGCACCAAGACTCAACACTGTTGCATCGCGAGTGGCTCCTCGTCTTTGTACCCTGTACTCCGTCTCTCAACTGGTCCGCAGCCAGGCCAGCAAAGCTCTGCCTGTTGGCGTAAGAACCACGGGATAGGCCCGCGAGCCAGGCCACTGTGACCCCACCGCGGTAAACGACCGCCCGCCAGTGAAATGACTAGAACTGAATTGTCACTGCGAGCTTGTAAGCTTAAAGGGAGCTTTTTTGAACACCTTTTCGGCCTGCTTTTTATGGAGCATTATTAGAGCGAGGACCGCAAATTAACGTCGCATTCCTCATTGTTTCCGCGATATTGAAATCGGCGTTGCATTGCCTCTTTGTACATTCGGATACTTGCGCGCCAACAGACGCACAGCGTGCCGGCGGGCCCTGAGCTCCGGAATGCCTCTTCCATCTCAACGTGCTTGTACTTCGTAGGGTTACGTACGTGGAGGCCGAGGTAGCAAAAGGACAGATCGAGCGAGATCCACCCGGAGAACTTTATCACAAGTTAGCATCGGATCTAAATGGTCTGCCTTTCCCACACCGAATGTCCTCTCCGAGCGTGGCTATGTCGAGGGAGGAGCAATTTCCAGTTGGTGTCTCCAGAACCGATGGTAGGTCGGCGGCTATTGTGCCAGGCTGGCCATTGTCAATCGTCGATCTTGAGCCGCCCGAGGCCGTCGCTACGTGGTATTTCACGTTCTTTTGTCCTTTCCGTGTGTGTTGATTCTCCGCGTTTGGTTTGGTGCAGCTGCATATGTAGATGCCCGCAACTTGACAGCTTCCGGTCTCTGGGTGGAACCAGATACGCATAATGTGTAGATGCGGCTTTTGAAGGATAGAAAACAATGGTCGAAGGTGAGGTGATTATCGGATGTGAGGCACCAGAAGATATCAAACACGATCGAATGCATTTGATGAACATTATCGATTGTGTTGAGAGATACGGCCGTGTTAGTAAGATAGCATTCTTACAGAGGCAGTCACCATGGACAGAATGTCGACTGTTGCACTTGCCGCGGAGGACTGACACTTCGTACTTGGTAAGTTGATTCTAGGGGCAGGAGCCACCGGCCAAGGCTCTGTGAAGAGTTCGAAGACAGTTGAATAGTCCATTCAAATTGTTGTCCTTCGTGCACCATACATAAAAGTGTACTAAGCTTGTACCTCGAAGTGGTGGAGATTGTAGGCACACAATTGTAGCTTCAAGTTAACTCCAAGTTTAAGTTGCCAGTTTGATGTTGCTGCTACTCATGTTGCCAGTCAGCAGCATCGATGGTATCAAATTGTGCAAAAAATACTTCGTAGGCCCGCCCCAGTGCAATTGGCCAGGCCAGTCATCAGAAATCTGATTGAATGCTCAGTCTTACACCTTGATCACAATCGTTTGGATTAGAATTTGCACTCAAGTGTAGATTCGAAGTAACTACTCATGATGTCCTCCTTACAATTCTAGCAGTCATGTGAAGAAGAGTCCAAGTACAAAAATACAATAATACAATAATGCTACTTCGCATTGACGATTCGTCTTCGACCTGTCCAGCAGAACCAACGAGGCTTCAGGAACCGCGAGAATTAGGTGCAAAGTGCTTCATACATCCCCGAATGAAACATCGAAGATACTCGTCCAGTCTTTGGTCCCCATAAAGGAATCAATTGATTTGATTGATTTGATTTTGTTTAGGGGTGTGGAAAAGACTCGATCGGATTTGGAGGCACTTACGAAGTATTGTGTGCTGTGTTTGTATAGTTATGCTAGCCGATGTGCCCTGTTCTCCAGACTGTCGTGCAGCGGCACAAGTGCAGTCGCAGCCAACGCACGCAGAAGTATAAGGTACATGTACAAGCGGTACGCCCAGCGATACACCCGCCGCCTGCCACTGACACACACTCAATTGATGGCCTGGCTGGACCTGACCTGGCTAAGGTAGAGACTGCACTGCTACAAAGTACACTAAACTCTCAAATTGATCAATTGATCCTCCGCTGCACACCCACTGCAACTGTGCCATTCTTCATACACGCCCCCCCTCCCCCCTTCAAATACCCACCTCTCTCTCCATCTCCCCTGTCTTAATATCTGCCATCCCTCCCCCTCCATTCGTCCTCGCCATTGGCATCTGGATCTCTTCAAAGTTCCACCTCGACGACACTCCCTTCCAAACACCTTCGAAGCCTCGTCGAAGCCTTGAAATATCACTCGTTTGTCCTCGATTGCTTGCGTGGTGCTGGCTTGGTGTGCGTGTGGATGTTTGCATGTATGGCCTCGAACCCGGATGCCCTCGACAACATCTTCAGAACCTGCCAGATCCAAAGAGCGAGAGCGCCTCAGCAGTGGCATATGTCCAAGTTTCTCTATTTCATCTCGCGGATCTTTCTCTTGTGTCACAGCGGTCAAAACGGTGCGCGGTCACACTCGAATCTCCGCCAACATTTTAATTGCCTCCTCTGGCGAGGTCTAGCTCCAAGATATCTCGCTCCTCTTTGTCCTGCCTGGAATCTCAGCTGAGAAGGGCCTTCGATATCTACGATTGGTGCCTGCCTGACTCATCCAGCCCGCCCGCTTGCCAGCTTACTTTTCACCTACGACTTGATTTCTTGGACCATTCTGGCGTACGCGTTCGCTTTCCCTCTCCCGAGTCAGCTAGCACCCTCTTGGGCGACGACGAGGCCTTGAGGTTGCCGGTGCTCGCTCGTCGTCGTCAACTGTAGGTCTGCCTTCGTCATGTCCCATCCACAGCAGCCCCTGGGCCCACCGCGCCAACCCACTGGCTACCCGACCCAGACGCCCTACCCATCCGCAATGGCCGCCACTCCCTACGGATATGCTCCGACGACTCAACCCGGCGATGTATACCGCGCGAGTCCCGGTCTTGACCCCTCTCAGCACCTACCTAGCATGCGGACGCTCGATGTCGTACCCCCGCAACAGCACGCTATCCCTCCTCCGCCCTCGACTGGGCCTCCGGCGATGGGACTGGGTATGGGCATTGGTCATCACGGCATGAATCCATTCTACCCTTCAGCGTTGGCCATGGGAGGACAGTATTTGCATACCGATCTCATGCGGTATCCGCTACCACCTCACGACCCTCGCTTTCAGATGGGCCGAGGTCCAAAAAAGGTACGTGGTAACGTGCGCTTGTCGTTCCGCTGATGCTTCATTCCTGGCATATTCATTCCTGCATACTTTTGATGCACAACGGAGGTCTCTCTTCCTCTCCCAAGTGCGGCACTATACCTATTATCGAAGCCGCTCCCATCAACTCCCTTGACGAGACGCATCGCCGTGTTGAATCGACGCCCCTTGCTAATCTGGGCTATTTTACCCGCAATAGGAGATTAAACGGAGAACGAAAACTGGCTGCATGACGTGTCGCAAACGAAGAATAAAGGTTTGTAGCTGTCGAATTTCTTTTCTAACTGCTCTTTCCCATTTCCCGTCCCTTCATCTTCTATTCGTCCCTGCCCTCTCGCGGACCGTCTTTTCCCACACTTAAGAAGCGTTTTCTTTTCCTAAAAATATCTTTTCGACTTCAACCGACGGGGCAGATAGTGTCTGCCTTTCCAAAATTGCCCAGCTTATCCCTGCCGTGCGAAAAAGGGGGTGGTTGTGTATATATTTTCTTTCGGGCTGGTCTGGATTGTGACGCGTTCTCCCATCTTCCGGCTATTATTTCCTACCTCCCGGAATAGCCGTTTGCACCCTTACACGGGACAATTGGCCTTTGTATCCGACAATTGGGAGCTACAATTCGACCACGGACCTGCACGATATGAGCCTTGCGAACTGGACTTCTCCATTTGAAGTGGCAGACCCTTCATTACATGGGAGATTGGGCTCTACGATCAGCCCTTGCGCGCGGGTCTTCGTCAAACCTGCTGTATTAGGTCGCGATTTTCCTCGCTTGTCGTCGCTTACGCAAGGCCACGAACCTTATTTTTTGTTTCCTCTTCGCCTGTCTTCTTGGACCATGGACGATGAAGAGCTTCTCAACAACTCCGAGATCTTTATCGGAGCTACCAAACCCCTGGCTGTCGCGCCAAGTGATGCTAGCTTCAGGGACCGACTACTTGGCCATGGGTCCGAGTTCAGCTCTTATTTCTTATTTCCCTTTTCGGCCGGATTTAGTGGGTTTAGGCCTCCTGCCTGCAGGATGACGACAAGAAGCCGTCGACGCCACAACCGCCCACACGGACCTCAGCCGAAGCGCCAATCTTGCTTAACAGAGTTTAGTCCTGACCTTATTCTGCTGGGGACCTTGCCACCTTGAACTTCCAGGCCTGGCGCATTTACACTCTTGCTCCCCGTACGCTTTCTGCGCCAGAGGCGCTGCTATTTCTCCTTTGTCTTGGTAAAGTGGCCATTCGAAAAGTGAGCCAACTAGGCTCTTGACCCGATCCCCTTGTATGGGCTAGTGTCCAATACCCTTGAGGCTCCTTTTGAGATGAGCCTTCGCATTCGTCTCTCTTCCTCCGGGATATGCCTCGTCTCGATTCTCTGCACATCCGGGGCACGACGCTGTGTAACCCACGAATTAGCGCATGATTTCCTTCAATGCATTGTATCCCCTAGACTTGGATGTCCTCTGACGAATATCAATGTGTTCAGTGCGATGAGACACATCCGACCTGCAACAACTGCCGAAAGTCAAAACGCGAGTGCCTTGGTTATGATCCCATCTTCAAACAGCAGCATGGTCACCCACAACGGCAACAACAGCAAAACCAGCAGCAACAGCAGTCTCAGCAGACCCAACATCCTCCCGGGCAGCAGACACAACAGCAACAACCACTACAGGTTACGCAGCAACCTCAACAGCCGCTGCAAACAGCGACTAATTCGCAGAACCAACTCCAACAACCACTTCCGCAGCCCCACCAAGCGCAGCAGATGCAACAACCCCAATCTCTATCCGCAGCGCAAGTACACCAGCCTCAACATCACCAAAACCAACCACCACAGCAACATCAGCATGCCGATCAATCTCTTCAACCACCCCAGCAACCCCTCCTCCAACAACCACCCTCTCAGCATCCCGTACCTCAGCCCCAGCCCGGGTTGAACATGGGCAACCACTTAACGCACCCATCCGCACCCTCTCCGGCAAGCGCCCCAACCAGCAACCCACCACCGTCCTCTTCCTCTCTGAGTGGCGGCATAAAGTTCGAACCACACCTCAAACTCGAACCCCACATTAAGCTCGATCCTCAAGCCCCTCCTGCCGTTCCCGGCCCGACTGCCTACGCTCCACAGAACGCCAACCCGGGAATGCATAACTCGTATTCCCAGCCGCCGAACCTTCCCCTCCCGCAGGCCGGCATCGACCCTTCCTTGACGCACACGCAACCCACTCCGCCACCGCAGATGAAGACCGAGGTGGCAGATTATGGCTCGGGTATGGGCCCCTCACTGCAGCAGCTAGGCCATCCTTCTTCTTTAGGACATGATATGGGGTCTTTGGGTCACGGGCATTCTCATCAGCATCCAGCTACGCAACCGCACTCCTACTCGCATCCTCATGGCCACGGTCATATGGGAAATAGCGGAGTTCATCTCGGGGGCGGCGTTCCTACACAATAAAAGACCGCGATGAATAGATGCCATTCCGATGTGCAAGAAGAAAGGAATTCGTCTTTGTCGAGGGCAGGAAGCAGCCTGACCGTTTCTCCAAAATCCGCCTGAACTACGATCTAGTTTGCCCGTCCAAGAAACAGGCACGATCCATTGGAACGGGTTAAAGGTCGGCAGGGGCCGAGTTCTCAACTACTCTCTATGCAGTGATTGCTTGAGATTCTCGCCCGCATCGATGGACCGAATGAGTACCATAGGAACGCGGCGACGCTGGTAGCTGTTTGCTAGGTACGGTGGGAACTACGGTGGGATCTGCGACCGAGCCCAGCGCCATGAGATGGATCGATGAGAATCTCCTCACACCAGCTTAACCACGGTCTAGTTGGAGAATCTTGGATGGCGCTAGCTAGTCTTAAATTCGGATGAGAACCGCTCCGTCGGACGGGACGAGGCGACAACGCGAATTCACGGCTCGGGACTCTAAGGATTGTGAGACAATCAGACTCTGCGTCGAAGACAAACGAGTCTCAACCGCGACAACCTACCTATCAATGAATCTCCTGCCAGGCCGGTGCAGTAGGCTGCGACGACAGCATTGACAGCCTTCTCACGTCCCCCCACACAGCATCGCCTCCCGAACTTACCCGAAAATCACATTTGAATAAGGGACCCTGGGCTTCGCCCTCAACCCTTTGTACTTGTAGACTATGTTTGACATTAATTTTTTTTGGGTTCTTGTTTTTCTACTTTCTGTTAGACGCAGTAATGTCTATCTATCTACCTTGCCGAAGCCCGGTTTGTTTTCCACCCGCCCTGTTCCGGTTCTCAAAAAGAAAAGATCTATTGTTCGTTTATACTCTGTGTTTTTATATCATGTATACTATTGCGGATATCTTATTTCTCAGTTAGCTTTCTTCTTTACTTGCAAATTCTTGAGCTTTTCCTTTCTTGATGTTTGAGTTTGTTTCTGGGAGGCGGGAATCTAATAGCATTGATAGCATGGGTCGCATGGCGGGGAGTGGGAACGGGAAAAAAGAAAAGCTAAGGGTGAATACAAATGATTGTGAGGCACTTATAGGGTTTTCAACCTTTCCAGCGTGTTTAGATGTCTTTTCTTCATATCGAATATACCTGGGCTTTGGGTGTGGAAAGCAAGAAGCGCCCGTCTCTGGAGATTTGCTGGCTCTGGGCGAGACGGCATGGGTTGAGGAGAGCCGACGTCGAAATGCAGAAGCGACGGGAAAGCGATGGCAGGGAGGATCGAGAAAAAACGAAGTGCTCATTCAATGTTTCTCGCTACTGGCAGAAGAGAGGGCTTTCTCGACCAAATCAAGGACGTTTTCGAAGCCGATACACATGGTTCAGGGGCTGGGAGCATCCGCCTTGTACGAACTCCTCCGATCTGACCTGAAAGACTGATCAGAGGCCAGGTATTATTGTACGGAACTCATGGTTTTCGTAACAGACTTGAGGCCGGATTGTCATCTCGTCCTACCTCAACTACATCTTAGCATACATAGCATCTCGGCGCCAAGTGATGGCCTCAGCCGTCAACTTAACGAAGTTACCGTTACAATCCAATTTCGATCCTCCTCTCTCTCATCTGTCACGAGGAAGCAATTTTAGATATAGGAATAATATCCCAAGAAAGATCAGCTAAGTGGAAAAAAGGACAACTAGATATCAGATGAAGCAGGCTTAGAGAAGAAAATTGGTTCACATGTCTGATGTAGTTGTTCAACGGTCGCTTTGTCAACAGATTTGGTCAAACTTCACCTTTCCCCTTGCGCTGACTATTTCCTTCCTGTTCTTCGTTCTTTCTCTCTTTCTCCCTTATATGCGAAACTTCAAAACCATTGCTAATCGAAACTGCGATACCTGACAAAACCCAAGCCGGTACATATCTTTGATACGACAGCAACTTTGAGATTCGAGAACGCCTCAGAAGAGACTTTAGGACATACGCAAGACCAGCAAACTTCCTGCACAATGGATCTCTTGGCCGAGCTGGAATCCATGGCCCAGATGTCCGTCCAACAGCCGGATGATGTATCAGATCAGCCTGACCTCCAAACCATCGAGAGATGGCAAGCGCTTTTCAACTACGATTACGCAGACGCAGTTCGCCAAATCAACAACAAGCAAGCCGATTTCCAGCAGTCTACCATCTCAGACGAACACTGGGCGCTAGTCCGTGCAGAGATGGAAGATCAGGGCTACGACCGCGAGGCGTATGAGCACTTCTGCTGGCTCCAGAGCCGGCGATCTCGCCGTCAAGAGCAGCCTCAACCTACGAAGAGAGCCAGTGCCACCTCGGCAACATTCCTGCTTAAACTCGAAGGCCCGCTAGCCGATGTTGAAGCAGTCAAGGCCATGGGCGAAATCTCCGATACACTTCCTTTAAACACAGCAACGGATGAAGATGGCGAAGTCTCCCAGTTCTGCATTGTTGATGCTAGAACACGAGATAAGATTATCCACCATCTCGCGAAAGTCAACCCCCTATTTCAACCTACTCTCATTCGTTATTCAAAGGCAAGGAAAGACCTAGATCCCTTCTCCGCCTCCCCGACGCTGAACATCGATGCTACAATGCCGCAACACCGCCCCAACTCGGAGAACGACCCGAAGCTCTTTCCGAAGCAAGACCAATATCCCGTCTGGTATTTCTTTTACGGCACGCTCGCAGACCCAGTCCGTCTTCGCCGCCTCCTCAATTTTGGAGATGAGCCTTCCTACGTCTCCGCTAGGGTCCGTGGGACTTTGGGGTTGTGGGCTGGGAAGTACCTGGCTTTGACGGACTCGGTGCAGGGAACTGGAGACCTCATTCAGGGCCGAGCCTTTCAGGTTGAGAGTCAAGACCAGGAGGACTCACTCCGGTACTATGAGACGGACCACTACGAGGTTGTACGGTGTGAGATTGAGATGGCTGAGGGAACCGTTCGAGGATTAACGTTCCGGTTTATCGGTAAGGGGGATTGGGCACCATTGGGAAGTTGATGGCGGATTTGAGACTGAAGTTGATACACTATTCAAGCAATACGAATCCTTCTCTTTAAATAGAATCATACGCTATTCAATATTCCCATATCATTTAAACCCTGATTACAAACGAATATGAGAGGATTCAGCTGAGGCGTGATACGGTATGGCCCGCGACGTGTGTCAGAGTCCGTTGGTGGTTGTCGTAAATATTGGAGGGGTTCTAGACGCCTCGAACCTAGTGACAAATTCGGTTTGGATGTTCCATATGTTAACAGGGAACTTTAGGAGAGTAATGAACCAATGAACCCTACTTGAATCCATGAAGAAAGGAACAGGGTTGAGATTGCGTATTACTTCCATCTGGGATGAGGGAGGAATGATAAGAGATAAAAGGGAGAGAAATCAAATCCAGCATCTCCACATGCCGACATGGACCAGAACAGTGCTGGATTCAAGTCCAAGAGCCCCGACGGCATCAGGCTTCGGAGTTAGTAATTCAAGGCATCTTCTCGGCAAAAGCTTCGGGCAGAAGTGATCCAAACCCTGCTCCAACATGTCGAGATCACTGGTGAATCCACGTCGCACGTAGACCCCTGTCCTCTCTGCAGGACCAGCACAGCCGGCTGCAGGACAGCGGCCGTTTGCAGACCTGACCGAGTTCAGACGCTAACGTATCTCGAGCCCATGGCGACGACGAAATCTCGCCCCGGTGTGCGTCCTGTTTACTCTTTTCAGTCAAGTGCGATATCGAGCTCCGCGGATTAACCCTGGCGCTGGGCGATGTTGGTGCCAGGGAAGGATGCACCCGGCGACCCGGGGACCCCCGCGAGCCCCGCGAAACCCCGCGCTGTGCTCCTTTTGGATTTCCTGGATTCCGTCGAAGAAAGACTTCCCCGCCCCCGCCTCGAATGTGCGAGAACCGATCCAATGCTCTCTTGATTTGATTTCCTGGTTTTTGGTGAAGGCGTCTTTTCGGAAGTGAGTCAGATATTGATATCGTCTGCATAGAGCGGCCAAAAAAAGGAAACAAATAAAAGGCACGTAACTTCGTTTTTATTTCCAAAACCGGGTTTCGCCAATACCGCAAATTGTAAGCGAGACCTCTCTTTGGTATATTCAGTTGTATATCTATCAAAGCATCAATCAATCTATTTCCGCGCAATGGGATCCTCGGGGCGGCCAAAAGTCTTGCAGCTCGGCCTGGTTGAACAGTAAGTGTTATATGTCCTGCCGTTCCACACTCCCTCATCTGGCTCTGGTTCCTCCTCTCAATCCATATTCTTTATTCATCTATCAGTATAGATATATGGAATATTGCTACGCTACCCTAATTTTCTTTCATGACATTTCTCTATATCCTATACCACCATCGTCCCAGCCAAGCCCCATCTAGATCTCACCGGCAAAAAAAACATGCATCCGAAGCCCAACCGCTCAGCTAACATCCTCTCAGCGCCCACGAGACGTGGTCATCAATCGGCGAGATCGCCGACATCATTGTCCCCAAGGCGACTAATCGCGATGAGCTGATCGCCGAATGCCGCTCTGGAGCTTTCGACGGCGTGAAGGTCGCCTACCGTACCTTTTATAGTGTCACAGGCCTCGTCGACACCGAATTGATTGCCGCCCTCCCATCGAGTCTGAGATTCATCTGCCACTGCGGTATGCCAGCCTCCCCATCCCCAACCATTCATCTCTTAAGAAAACAAGATATATACATCTATATATATATAAAGAAATTTCATGGGGGAGACTAACCGGACTCAAAGGCGCCGGCTACGACTCAATCGACATCCCCGCCTGTACAGACCGCTCCATCCTCGTCTCCAACACCCCCACCGCCGTCGACGACGCCACAGCCGACCTCAACATCTGGCTCATGCTCGGCGCCCTGCGCAACCTTTCCAGCTCCATGACGGCCCTGCGCGCTGGTACCTGGCGGGGAAACCCACCTCCGGCGTTCGGCCACGATCCCCAGGGTAAGGTACTCGGCATCCTGGGTATGGGCGGCATCGGGAGGAACATGGCCAAGAAGGCGCTGGCATTTGGGATGAGGATTCGGTATTATAACCGGACGAGGTTGGCGGAGGATCTGGAGAGGGAGTGTGAGGCTGAGTTTGTTGATTTTGAGACGTTGCTGAGGGAGAGTGATGTTTTGAGTTTGAATCTGCCGCTGAATGTGAGTTTTCACTCCGCTCATTTCTCATTTTTTTCCCTCTTCTCTGTTATTCCATTATTCCATTACACGAGAACCTAACATCCATCCAGCCCCAAACCCGCCACTCCATCTCCAAGCCCCAATTCGCCATAATGAAAAAGGGTATAGTGATAGTCAACACCGCCCGCGGCGCGGTCATTGACGAAGCGGCCCTCGTCGACGCCCTGGCCGACGGTACCGTCTCCTCCGTCGGCCTAGACGTATACGAGAACGAACCCGAGATCCACCCGGGCCTCGTCACGAACCCCTCCGTGCTACTGGTCCCGCACATGGGGACCTGGACGGTCGAGACGCAGACGAAGATGGAGGAGTGGGCCATGGGGAATGTGAGGGTTGCCTTGGCGGAGGGGAGGTTGAGGAGTGTGGTGCCTGAGCAGAAGGGGATGGCAGAGATGTGGGTTGGGTTATAGGTAAAAAAACAGTTTCTACATTTTTTCCTCTCTCTTTTACTTTTTGGTAGTTGGAGGTCGACTTTCATCTCGCTATCGTCTCGTATGAGTTCCGCTTGTCTTGTGGGACGATGCGAGATGTTGACTAGCCTCAATATCCATTCTACGAAGAAGCACACTTACGAGTTCGGTACGGATTTTGAAAAAAAGAAACTAAATCGCGTTAGAATAAATCCAAACGTATAATATCTCCCTTCGGCGTCCTAGTGAACCAGAAAGGCAAGGCAAATTATGCCATTGCAAAAAATGGCCTCATGAAAAAGCCAAGCGCCACCACAGGCCCCGAAGAGGCGACTTGGCTCCATCTTCCCGCCATCGAAGAATTCTAGGGGAAAGTCAATAAGCAGTGGGATCTATACTTGAAACGACTACTCGAGTGAAGGAGTAAAAGAAAAGTAAAGAAAAACGAATAGGGCGAAATTCAGGTTACAGGCGGTGTGACTTGGAAATCACTTCTTCAGCTCTTACTCGACCTCGGGGACCAGGCCGATCACTACGGGCACAACGGCAGCCGAAGCGGAGAATGCTATTTCATTATTGGTCGTCCTTCGTACACCGGTCGTATTAGAAGCAATGCTGGATATGCAACGCAATCCATCAATTAGCACTCATTAGCAGTGATAAGAACTAAGGGTTTCGAAACAGGGCGGAGGCGCTTGTCAGAGAGGTTAGCCGAACCCCGGACTTTGTGACATGCGGTGAATCAACGGCCTCGATGACACCATCCCGCGAGTCCCTTCATCATCCGGCAAGGTCCGGTTGCTATTTTCTCGGCGTTCCTGGTCGTTACCAATGGGTTAGACATATAAAATATGAATATGTAGCTGGTACCCATGTCTAAAGCTTTCATTTTCTGCATGTCTTCTTGTCATTCTTTCGTTAAACGTATCTTGTAGGCGCTGGCAGAGGACCATTCGGCCTCCCCCCTCCTTTTCTATCTTCCGCTCCTCTCTCCTATATACACAAAATCCTATTATCCTCCCTCCATAATGAGACTCCTCGACACTCCCCAGTCCTCCCAGGACTCAACCCGGCAAACAACCCCAGAGAATCCCACCCAGTTCCTCGTCACCTCCCCTTACACCACGCCCGAGCATCTCCTCAACCTCTCCACACTCGACAATGAAAACGCCCTCTTCGCCAAAGCCCTAACTCACCTACGATGCGTACGCGATGACTACGCGACGGCTCCCTACCTCGATTCTTTCAACTGGGTCGAAGTCCTGGACAAGCTGCGCGAATCGGCTGGAGACGGATTCGCCGAGACGTCCTTCTTCATTGTCGCTTTCCGATCTCAAATACCTCCGACTACGGTGTACGAAGACTTGGGCATTCTGGATGAGGCGGCTCATGCGGAAGCTGTAGCCTGTGGCGGGTTCCTGAAGTAAGTTTTTGCTTTTTTTTTTTTTTTTCTCGGGTCCCTTTTTCTTCCTTGTTTTCGCCCTCGGGGGCTTACACACCGAGCGCCACGCATCATTCAATGGAAAAAGCACACAATCGGAACAAGGAAAAAGGACGGAACTAGCCGGAACAAGAGACGGGAAAAAAGTCAATTCGCCAGATCGAGCTGACCAACTCTTGAAATTAGGTACTGGTTTGGCCATCCGGACACAGATGGGAGGAACCTTGCCACGTGCGTCTGGCGCTCCAGAGACGACGCCATTCGCGCCGGACATACGGCTGGCCATCGCAGGGCGGCGAGAGCCACAGCTTCCATGTATTCCCACTGGAAGATTGATCGGCATAGGCTCATCATAGGGCCTGGTGCTACGGAGTGGAAGCTGATTGAGTGGTCCGATGATTACACCGGTGGTCAATGACGGACGAAGGAAACGATTGGCGGTTAAATGGGCATGCATGATAGGTAGCGGGCGTTCCGGGAAGGGGAAATGAGTAAAATATGAAAAAAAGGAGATATTGCACGGGAGAGTTCACATGAGCGAGGTTGTACTGGGGCTTTGATAGCGACTAATACGACCTCATAATGGAAACGGTTTCGATTCCTACCGGCTGCCTGGAAGTGACTGAGGTCTCTCATCCCGGAGAGGGATCGGGGACGTACTTCGTAAGACAGAAAGGCCGAGCTTGGCTCTCACGGAAATCTCAAAGCTTGGCTGAGAGATAAAAGGTTAAAGTTTGATCATCTAATCGGCACTTGGGATGACGCGATCAAGGGCCGCCTTGTCGGCGAAAGAGAACGATACATCTTGGAATACCAAGAAGACGGAGATCAGCAGCGTAAATACCACATCGTCACCAAGAGAAGCTTGAGAATCCCGAAATATGACTTCCGAGGGAAGAATCAGGAATGTCGAGGACGATGATGGATGAAGCATCAAGTGGATTGTCCTCGACGTGGGACCCTGGTTGAGACGACGTTGGCCGATTCCGCCATTGTCGAATAGGAGCGAAGATATCCCAAATTCGTCACATTGCAGAGTGGGGAGATCTCGTCCGAGTGTCATCAGCTGGCGTAGCTTGCTCCAGGTGGCAGGGTGGGAGGCGGAAATTCTGCCACTAGCCACCGCCTCTAGCCCCTCCCACAAAAATTTATCGCCAATTTGAACACACCAAGCCCATCCTTCGTGTCAGAAAGACGAGGCGATTCCGTTCCGCGATCACAAGGAGATAGATACCCCCCCTAAGGATCCGATCCCGATTACGTCCGCCGACTCGATCTCTTTCTCTCGGAAATTACATCCCCGGTCGCAAACTTCATCTCCTACTCGAAACGAATCCTCTCCAAAGACTCATCCAGCAGCAACCATGGCTGACGCATCCAAAGATGTGCCGTTCAAGACGGTCCAGGTCGAGGCCCTCGTCCTCATGAAGATCTCGAAGCACTGCTCGTCGTCATTCCCCACCACCGCGACTGGATCCCTCGTCGGTATGGACAACAACGGAGTCCTCGAGGTCACCAACGCCTTCCCCTTCCCCATCTTCGAAGTACCCGGATCCGACTCGCACCAGAATGATGCCTCCTCGCTCGCGGCCAACGCCCCGCGCCAGAAGCCCAACATCGCCTACCAGAACGACATGATCAGGTACATGAAGGAGATCAACATCGACGCCAATAACGTCGGATGGTACACCAGCGCCGCCATGGGCAACTTTGTCAACCTCACCTTCATCGAGAACCAGTATCACTACCAGAAGGATAACGACCGCACTGTCGCTCTTGTGCATGATGTCAGCCGCAGTTCGCAGGGTGCTTTGAGCCTTCGCGCTTTCAAGTTGTCGCCTAGCTTCATGACTGCGTACAAGGAGGGCAAGTTTACGACTGAAAGGTATGGTTCCGCGCCCCGCCCTAGTACTTTTTCTTTATTACATTTTGACCATAATGTTCACACACCTTCTAGCCTCCAAAAGTCGAAACTCAACTTCAAGGACATCATCGTCGAGTTCCCCGTCATCGTCCACAACTCCCATCTCTTGACCTCGTTCCTCCACCAGATCCCCCCCGCGCCCATCCGGGATCCCTCGGAACCCCCCGCGTCCCTCGACGATCTCAGCGAGGACCCCGTCAACCCCCCCCTCTACCCCTCTCTCGACTCCCTCGACGTGTCGATCGACCCGTTCCTAGAAAAGACGTGCGACCTCCTCCTCGACAGCATCGAGTCTCACTACACCGACCTGAACAACTTCCAGTTCTACCAGCGACAGCTCGGCCGTGAGCAGGCTAAGATTACGCAATGGCAGGCCAAGCGCAAGGCGGAGAACGCGGCCCGCGTCGCGGCCAAGCAACAGCCCCTCCCCGAGGACGAGTGGCAGAGGCTGTTCAAGCTTCCTCAGGAGCCCAGCAGGCTCGAGGGCATGCTCAACGCCAAGCAGGTCGAGCAGTACGCGAAGCAGGTTGATGGCTTCACTGCTAATGTCAGCGCCAAGATGTTTGCTGTGAGGGAGAACTTGATGCCGAAATGAAAAGGGGGTATTTTGAGGGATGAGGGGAAAATAGCGAATAGTTCTTTTTTATCCTTTTGGTCTTTTTTTAGTCCTCTTTTTTTTTCTGTCTTCTCTCTACGGTTCAGAGGCGAGATAATCCGGTATGACCCCGGAGCATGTCGAGCCAAGTCGACCGAGACGAAGAGGGATCACTACTACCCGTGTGCTTTTCGTTTAGACGGTTACTCCGAGCCAGCCGGGTTTCACTGTTGTTGATTGGAGAACACGAAACCCCAAAAAGTAAGGAGGTACGAGGTTGGTAGAGAGGGGCGGTCTATAATTGCATATTACTGGCGTTTGGGAGAGGCTGGGCCACATGTATTAACATGTATGACACTTGATGGGAGCTCTTTTAATGCTGGATGTCATGAATTGATTCCCTCTCCTGCCGATAAATTTGTTTTCTCTTTTCTCATCTCTCATCTGCTGCTCGACGGTAATTGTAGATTCAAATCTCTTGAGGGCTCGGAGTGTGCTTACGTTGGGCAACAACACTGATGCACAAAGAGGCCAAACGGGTAGAGTGAGGGGTGGTGAGGGTGAGGCGGTCAGCATCCTGACAAGCCATGCAGGTCGGACGATTACATTTCAATTGTTACCCCTCCACCTTCAAAATTGCCAGGACAGGTCAAGGCACAGCAAGAAAGCCAGCTCCTGCCGGGTCTACAATGTCGTTTTCCAGCCTCTGCTACGGCAGTACTTCTAGGGAGGTCAACGCAACACGAAGTAAGCTGACACCAGAGCAGACAATCGAGATTGAGCGAAATTGTCGCCGAAGTACTCCATAATCTCATGAATTGAGTGCGTTACTGCTCGAGAGCAGCTCCAACGTACTTCGTAGGCAGCAGAGTAGAGAAACTAATTGCTAGTCAATTTTAGACACCCACCGTTTCTCAGCTATTCAACGCCTGTTTTCACCACGTGTAGGCCGATTTAAGGAGCTGTCGAGCTCTTGTTGACGACTGCCGCGGGTTCCCAGGACTGAGAAACGGGGTTTCTCGTTATCTCGTTTTAGCCCCGCCCCCACCTTCCCCGCTAAAAGGAGAGAAAAGGAAAAAAATTCAACGCAAAGTAGCACCTTCCCCGCCAACCCTTGTAACCAGAAGCAACAGAGAAGCTGTTCTTTTTCCCTCCTTCCTTCCCCTCCTCAACAATAGGATAAAACTTCTCCCCCTTCCTCTCCTCTTCCCTTTTTACCTTGCATTCCTCTTGGAATTATCTCGTCCTTTTTCCACTTTCTTCAATTTCCATTCCACCTCTCCCCTTTCCTGAGATAAGACATCTCTCGGACATCTCGTGAAGCCTCAATTGAACCCCTCCATAAAAATAACCCCTCCTTTTTCTCACAATGTCTGCCCCCGCCCACAAGTTCAAGGTCGCTGACCTCTCCCTCGCGGCTTTCGGCCGCAAGGAGATTGAGCTCGCCGAGAACGAGATGCCCGGTCTTATCTCCACCCGCAAGAGGTATGCCGCTGATCAGCCTCTCAAGGGTGCCCGCATTGCTGGCTGCCTTCACATGACTATCCAGACCGCCGTCCTCATCGAGACCCTCGTCGCTCTCGGTGCCGAGGTCACCTGGACTTCGTGCAACATCTTCTCTACCCAGGACCACGCCGCCGCTGCCATTGCCGCCGCCGGTGTTCCCGTCTTCGCCTGGAAGGGTGAGACCGAGGAGGAGTACAACTGGTGTCTCGAGCAGCAGCTCCAGGCCTTCAAGGATGGCAAGACTCTCAACCTTATCCTCGACGACGGCGGTGACCTCACCAGCCTCGTTCACAACAAGTACCCCGAGATGCTCAAGGGCTGCTTCGGTGTCTCCGAGGAGACCACTACCGGTGTCCACCACCTCTACCGCATGTTCAAGTCTGGCAAGCTCCTCGTCCCTGCCATCAACGTCAACGACAGCGTCACCAAGTCCAAGTTCGACAACTTGTACGGCTGCCGTGAGTCTCTCATCGACGGTATCAAGCGTGCTACCGACGTCATGATTGCTGGCAAGATTGCCGTCGTTGCTGGTTACGGTGATGTCGGTAAGGGCTGCGCCGCCTCCCTTGCTGGCATGGGTGCTCGTGTCATCGTCACCGAGATCGACCCCATCAACGCCCTCCAGGCCGCCATGGCTGGTTTCCAAGTCACCACCATGGAGAAGGCCGCCGCCGTCGGTCAGATCTTCGTCACCACCACCGGTTGCCGAGACATTCTCACCGCCGAGCACTTTGAGCAGATGCCCAACGACGCTATTGTTTGCAGTAAGTGATTCTCTGCGAGCTGAATTTTTTTACCCCCCCACTTTTCCAATATTAATCTTCGATACTTTCTAGACATTGGCCACTTCGACATTGAGATCGACGTTGCCTGGCTCAAGGCCAACGCTGCCAGCGTTCAGAACATCAAGCCCCAGGTTGACCGCTTCCTCCTCAAGAACGGCAGGCACATCATCCTCCTCGCCGAGGGCCGTCTCGTCAACCTCGGCTGTGCCACTGGTCACTCTTCCTTCGTCATGTCCTGCTCCTTCACCAACCAGGTCCTCGCCCAGATCATGCTCTACAAGAGCGCCGACGAGGAGTGGGCCAAGAAGTACGTCGAGTTCGCCACCGAGAAGAAGTTCGAGGTTGGCGTCTACGTCCTTCCCAAGACCCTCGACGAGGAGGTCGCCAGGCTCCACCTTGCCCACTGCAACGTCGAGCTCTCCAAGCTCACCCCCGTCCAGGCTGAGTACCTCGGCCTCACGGTCGAGGGCCCCTTCAAGTCCGAGATGTATGTTTTTCACTTCCCCCACCAGAGGCCTAATAAGCGTTCACTATAAACAAGTCCTTGCTAACATCCGTCGTTCTTCCTAGCTACCGATACTAAATTCTCTAAACCATCTTTCCCCTTGTACACCACCCGAGTTTTCAACTCTCGGATAGACACTAGATACCATATTCCAGCATTCTAAACAAAACTTTGGGGAGTTTCTGCGACGACGTCTCCAGAATCGCCCTCTCCTTTTTGCTTTTCTAATCCTCTTTTCTTTTTATGCTTGGACTTTGAATTTTCCTCTCAAGTTCAACCGACAACGCAGTCTTTGGTTTCAACAGCATGGCTTGCATGGGGCGGGGGCAGGATAACGGAATGTTTTTGTCTTTTTATCTGCGTGCTTTTTTCTTGTTTTCTGATTTCCTGGGCAAAGACTCAACTTGACGGAAATAAGGTGTAATGATGATATGTCCCAATTCAACCGGTGATACAAAAAAGAGGAAGGAAATGAATATCTCTTGGAGGTGTTTTTGTTGTTTGGCTTTTGTTTTTAACATGTTCCCTTGAAGGAACGAAGGAACGGGCTGGGTTTAGGAGAGAACAAAAGAATCTGGCTAGGAAACGTAAAAAACTTATTTTTCAACAAAAGCTGGAGTTTTGGCTAGGATATGGCCAGTTGACTTTGTGATTCGCGCCGGTGCTTTTTTCTTGCAAGTGGCATTTTCAAACTTTGTTGCGAGTTCCTTGATGAGGACGGACGTTGGAAGTGAGGGCCCTCTTCATCTCGGCTGGTTTATGAGGCGAAAACCAATGATCAGTCCCCTGTTTCGGTACCAATCATCAATAGCATTCGACTACGACGGGATTCGGGCTAACGGTGACAGAAAAGGCACAATCACTCATGCTACAATGCCAAAGCCAAGGCTCAGAAAGCAACAAGTCTAATGGGATCGATTCCAGACACAAGAAAAGCATAATTATCAAATCCCATCCCCATCAACCGATAATAAAAGAACCCCTCCCACACGATCATCGTCCTGCCCTCCTTTCCCCTCAGTCATAAAAGGACCTCTTCAGACTTCGTCACACTCTCTCCTTCTCTACCGCGGAAAACATGCCCCCTTTTTATTCCCTCATCCTCTCCGCTAACCATCCGTCCCACTGCTCCTAAACGTCGCACAAAGCGCCGCATAGTGATGCGTAAGATCCAGCACATTCTGCGGCAGACTCGTCGCCTGAATGATGCTCCTAACCTTCAACGCGCCCTCGTCCTCAATAAGCGCACGGATCGTATGCAGCAGCTCGGGCGAAAACTCCGAATACCAGCGATACTGCCACGTAACGAGCCGTATAACGGACGCGACGGTCTCGCGCGTCGTATTAATGTGCGTCGAGGACGTGTTCCCGGCAGCGGAGGTGGTGTCGCGGTGATGGGGGTCCCAAGCGCTACGCCCGCGGCGCTCGAGCGCGTGGAGGATCCCCGTCAGGGCCTTGGGGGAGAAGCGCTGGCCTAGGCAGGCGCGGTAGGCCTCGACGGCTTCGTCGACGTGCTGGAGGCGGTCGGCGAGGGAGCCGAGGATCTCCCACTCTTCGGCGGATTTCTTGTACTGCATGGACTGGGCGCGGTATTGGGCCATTTGCGTGCGCCAGATTGTGTAGACGCGGAGGTCTTCGTAGAGGACCATGAAGAGGCTGTCGAGCCAGCGTTCGCAGAGGCGTTTGTTGTTGAGTTTGGAGAGGGGTTGATCGGGCGAGTCGGACTGGGATTGGGTGGTCTTGTTAGCAGATACTTCCACTTTTTTTTTTTCTTTCCCTACATCACCTGCGGCGGGAGATAGCTCTGGGCAGCTTACCTTTTCACCGTCGGCCTTTACTACACCCGGGTCTATCGTATTGGAAGGCTTCTCCGGCGACGAATCGCCATTAGTCTTAGGTGCCTCTCCAGCCTCCTCCGCCTTATCTGCCGCACCCGAATTCTCATCAGACTCGTCACTCTCGGCCGAGGACCTCGGGCTTCCACGGAGGCCGTCAGTGCTAGGGTTCCGCAGGTTCGGCGCAACCGCCGTAGTTGAACCCCTACGCGGCTGGTCCTGCTTCTCGTTCCTATACTCGTCCTCCATAACAAAGACGCTGCTCCGAATCTTGAGCAGCTGGTCCCAGCCGAGCTTCGCCGTCATCTCCGTAAGAATGTTATAGGCCAGCCTAAACGTTCCCTTGTATGACGCCGCGCGAAGGTTGAGGAGGCTCGGGTCGACTTGCTCCGAGAAGCGGGACTCGGGCTCGCTGTCGATCTCGTCCAGCCTCGTCGCCGCGAGGGTGGGGAGGTAGACGTCCTTGGGCTCGGGCATGATGGGGGCATCCTTGTCCTGGTACGTGAACATGGGACACGAGTTCAGGACGGCGAGGGCGTGTTCCCAATCTTCCATGGCGACGTATACCTCTGCTAACCTCGCCCAGGTCCGGAACTCGCTTGGGGCGGCAATGGTGCTCCTGTCGGCACATCCGAGGGCGAGTCGTAACCTCTCCTCCTTTTGCTCGGGAGTGGCCGCAGTCAGGGCCTTTTTCAATAGGAACTCGGCCTGGGTGTCGAGCATAGAGTAGTCCATGGGGGTCTCCTTTAGAGCTTCGTGGAGTATCCGCACACCGCGTACTTCTTCGTTGCCCATGAACAGTACCTTGGCCAGGAGCGAGGCCACCTCGATGTTCTGGGTCCTGAGCTTCTCAAACAGGTTGATGCCGGAGGTGTATCGGCCGGTGGTTTCGAAGTATCTGAGTAGGCCGGTCGTCAAGTGGTTCGCAACGTTGCTCGGTACTTGTACGATAGAATCGGATCCCAGTTGCCAGCCTGTATGACCAGAGTAGAGTTCTACCAGTTAGCAATGGAACACGAGCAGAGCCAGTCACCCGAAAAAAAAAAGCAGGGATTAGAAGCATACCCTTGAAGAACAATTGCTCGGCAGCATTGAGGAAGCGATGCTCAGACTCAGTGTTCGTCACGGGATTAAATCTCCGCACACCCATAATCTTCCGAATAGTCTCTCCGCTACCGTCGTCGGCATACGAGTAGGCACGGAGCACACTACACAAGTACGTCTCGAGCCAGAGCTCATCCGTAGCCGGCTTCTGCTCGCCGCGCTCGTCAACACAGTAGGCCAGGACGGAACCGGGAATGGTAACGTGCACGCGCATGTCGAGACGGGAGAAGGCATTGTAACAGCTGTTGGAAAGATTGGCAAGATTAGCTTCAGACCAACCGGCGATGGTTACGAGTTTTCGGGAATATCGCGAGCAGCGTGAGGCTCAACTGCAGAGCATCAGAAAGGATGAAAAAAAAACTAACCAGTATAGACCCTCGGCGATCTTGGTCTGTTGCTGATGAGGGTGGGATTCGGTGTGCGTCAAGGTATTGATGTATGCGGCAAGACTGGCCGAGGACGAGGCATCGACACCGGTTACATGGTGGTAGACTCCGAGCTAATTCAAGAGTCAGTCTTTAACACTTCCGCGCGAGCCATATCCGTCCCGCGGGAACCCTCGAGTATTGGGAGAAATGCGCACCTGCTTGTTCGGGTTTCGAGCAGCGTGCTTTAGGAGGTGGACTAGATCGGGAGGGCCAAGCTCGCGAAGAGTAACTAGGGCCTCGGTTCGCGCATCAATTGACTCGTGGAGCACCTCTTCGGTGAGCCTATCGCCAAGTCCGCGTCAGCATTAAAAGAATACGATATGTCGGTGACGTCGGGGAGGCAGCATCTATTTAAACGTACTCCGGGATAGCGGGCGCAACCATCGAAAGGGTATGCAGAGAACAATGCCTCGCTCGCGAACACTAAGAAGGGCAGAACGACTAAACTGCGGGCCAGGTAAGGGGCAGAACGGAGGTCGAGACTTCGAAGTTGAGCAGCGGGCGGATACGATAGTCGGGATCGAGGGTAATTAAAGCTGCCTAGGCCAGGGTCGGAAAGGGGTGGCACGACTCGGAGGTCGCAGGATCAATGTTCTGATAGCCCGTATCGCATTAGTGCGGGAAGTGGATGGACATAGGAGGCGGCTATGGGAGGCGGTGGTGATGTGAGATGTGCGATGTGCGATGTGCGATGTGCGATGCCCCCTCCAAGCTGGCTTGAGCTGGATTTGGGAATTATCGTTGATGGGACAGCAAAGCAATCTCCAATCTCCATCCGTCCAGTTGCAGCACGAGGATCAATTGTTCAATGGCTCAACGCTCGACTCCACTGCAAATTGCCAAGGGACAATTGGAGCCAGGTGGCCCCCACAGTTCCCTTCTAGGCTGCATACTGTATTGTTCCTGTGTTTCCGTGTATCCTTCCCGCAGAGTTAAATGTGATGCAACTTCTCTGAAGCCTTATCCATACAGTGTTAATAATATGTGTATGCCCTTAGTCCCTGGAAGGTCCCTTCAGAAGCTCCCGAACGTTCTTGTTAGTCCAACGCCTGGACTGGCTTCCGCTCGTGATCCATTATATCACAATAGGTCTAAAATCTGAGGCTTAAACAAAACATCAAATCTATCAAAGGTGGAAGGATCCTCGGAGAGGCGACCTGCATTGGTCGAAGATAGGGGTTTCCCACGACGAAAGAGATCACGTGGTCTTCTAGAAGAACGGACGAAGTACACTGTTGAGCTTGGGATAAACAGGAAGGTGGTCGGTCTGGTGTAGGCGGCTGGTTTGGTTTGGCGAATAGACTACTGAGAAAAGAGAGCCCTGTTTACGCATCCCGGGCGAGTTGCACACCTAAAACTAGCCGGCTTTGTTGGGGGTTGAAAATGCCGGCGCGTTCAGCTCAGGAACACAAGATCGCTGGCTTCGGGGTCTCAGAATCATCTGTCATATCAATTCTAGCTGCCCTATCAGATCACACTAGAACTATCCCGAATCGATCTATCCCATCCCGTGAATCCAGAGCTGAAGGCTCCAAACCCAAGAGTAAACGTATGCAGAAAAAGGGCCATGTGCTACCATAGGAACCCGCGGCAATTTGAGCTCCCGCATAAGCATTTCGTCATCTCCTTAAGCGTCGCAGGGTTCGACAAGTCTTCCTCTTCATCCTCGACTCCATCAATATAGTCAAACGTAAGCTCGGTGTTCTTAGGAATGTCAGCGATGGCGAACAACGCCAGATCATGCAGATGCTTGTCGGCGTGGTCTCCCACACGCGCGTAGATACGCAAGTTGGGCGCACACGAGTGGTTGATGAAGCGGGTTGGACCCGACATGAATTCCCCGTCGACGAGGAGCGGCGGCTGGGAAAGACGCGGGTCGAGGGAGTCGGGGTCGTGAAACTTGTCAAGCGCAAAGAGGTAGACGTCCTTTTTCCTAGCGATGTCGGAGAGTTTCCGGCGGCGGTCTGCTGCCTTTGCGGTGATGACTTCGCCAAAGTAGCGGTCGACGAACTGGCCCTTTTGGATGTCTTGGGTACACCGTACTCCTATGTAGAAACGAGGCTGATTAGCCGAGCGCAAAGGCAGGGGGGAGGGAATGGTTAGAAATCTCGAATAATGTATCCTTACCCCATCCACGGTTAGTGGTCCTAAAAATCTGAAGAGGCACCCGACGACCTCGCTCAACCACGCGATTCGGACAATTGTAGCTACACGCGCACCCCTCATGACATTCGTAAATCGGCGCTCGACTCTCCGGCCTCAGCATCTTGGGGTTCAGCATGCCTGCCCTTTGACCTCGCGTCTGATACGCATACACTTGCAGCCGGCGATTCTGTCTCGTCGAGCCCTCATCTTCGGAGTCGTCCTCCTCGACGTCACCGAGACACTGGCATCCGCCAAACTGGCAGAGCTCGTCCTTTCGGCACTCGCACCCGCTTCGGAAACTAGCCTCGGCGGGTTTGACGCCTTTTCCTAGGACTACGCTGTCTATGAAACGAAAGTCGGGGGGCAGGGGGGTGTCGTCGACTTCGTTGACGACGGTGATGGGGTAGTCTTGATGAGTGGAGAAACTGCGGATCTGACACAGGTGGCAGTCCTTCTTTTCCTCTTCCAGGCCCTGCAAAATGAGTTAGAATATTATAAGCCATTGAATATACTCAAATCTAGTACTCACCGGCTGACCGTGGTGGAAGAAATGTCTCCTCATGGCAGCCTCCATGGTGTAGTTGCTGCTGATGGATGGTCGAGCCAGCAAAATGACGAGAGGGTCAGAGTCGGGTCAAGTTTATTGTTTATCTGTCAGAAAATGGCCTGTCTGAAGGTGAGGGTCCTTGGACACGCAGATAGCAAGCTGATTGAGCGAAGAACATTAGATTGTAGATGAGATACGATCAAGATCTTGACGAGAGCAATGGGTAAAAGCGTAACAGTTGAAGCTTGAGATGTTGGGACAAGACTGTGTGAATAGTTTATTGTCTGCACTATACATCAACTATCACACCTCGACACCAAATTCATTCACACCCACATCAACTCATTCACTCAGGCAGTCGCAGCCTCCTTGTTCAACCTTAAGATCAAATCTTAAACCTCCTTCTTCTTCACCTTCATTAACTAAGTTTAGTCTGTCTATTTATTTATTTTGTTTTCTATATCCCAAATTTCTTGTTTTCATTGCCATCTAGACCCTGACTCTTTTGGCCGAGCTCAGCCCTAAACTTGGCTCATGAGGCTGTGTCTCGATTCCACATCTTGACTCACTCGACCCTTTGGTCGGCCTGTGTGATGCAGGGAAAATGAGGCTATAAGAAGTAATCCGATTTTCCGCTCTCTGTTACACTCGAACTAGCTCTCTTCCCTTTTCAAGATTTCGACCAGTCTCTCCGATCTTGCTTCCCTAGCCGGTCAGTGAGAGCCGCTGAAGCGCATGTCCAGCTCGCAGAAGACCAACCCTTGAAAAACATGGGCCGCATTCCTCAAGTTGTGGATAGAATCGAATTCGTCACTTAGTCCGGTTTACTAAGGCCGGGTCCCTTCCACACCCTCCCGTCGAGCTTCTACTATCACGACCACGATCACAATACCATCACACTCAGGCACTGGGGGCAATATATACTTATTCCGTTCCTGCCTCTTCCATCCCTCTGTTTCCTCGTGCTTCTGTCCTTCTGTTGCATGTGGATGACGCGGGCGTGGACTTAGATTCAATAAGCGAAGCCTGAAGCTTCTTGCCTTTGGGAAGCAACCTTCCGGCTGTCTGTCGTTCCCAATTTGGATATCGACTCGAGCCGCAGGCAAACAATTTCCATTGGGGAAACAAAGAAACAAAGCACTCTAAACTTGCTTACAGGCAATGGGTGGTAGCATTTTCGCCTCCGGGCCCAACCCTTTGTTCACCCCCCGCATGCCTCCCGAGGTATACAATCATGTAAAGGCCCGTTGCCATCGTGCCCTTCTTGAACTTTTCGTTTGCGTCGCCTCGCCCATCGATGGCCCTGCGAAGACAACTTACGGCGATGTTGACATCCTAGTCACATGGCATCGCAAAGAGATCTTCGGAATTTCCCCCGAGTTGCCCAACCCCGGTAGCTATACGAATGAAACAAATCCCCGATCTCTTGTCCATGATATATCAAAGGTCCTCGGCGCCATCAGAACCATTTCGGAAAATCACGGCCACGCTCACTACGCGATCCCATGGCCACAAGAATTCCAAGATATAGGAGAGAAAGATGGTGACCGGCCTCGTTTCATCCAGATCGATGTGGCAATCTCCCCTTCACTCCAGGCCTTGCAGTGGATCCTCTTCAGACATGCCCACGGCGATCTCTGGAACATCCTTGGCTCCATGATCCGAGGCTGTGGCCTCGTTGTCGATGAGACGGCCTTGTCAATTCGAATCCCCGAGATCGAAAACATCAACCGAAATAGGGCAAAGATCAAGATCACGGATGACCCTGTCGAGGTTCTGAAGGTTCTCGGTCTCGACGTAAATGGCTTCCGGGATCAGCCCTTCGAGTCCCTCGATGACTTGTACGAATACGCCGCTACGTCTCCCATGTTTTATGTCCGTCCGCTTCCCCCTGGGGCTGCGGAGAGTGCCGAGGGCGATTCGTTGGCTGCCGCCCCAACCTCCGCTACGGAACAGGCCATTATGGAGGATAAGAAAGTCCTCAGGTCTAACGACCGCCGTCGCATGAGGGGCCGACCATGCTACCGCAATTGGGTCGAAGATTTCATTCCCCGCTGCCGCGCAGAGGGCCGATTCCTTAAGCAGAGGCGCACCCGAGAATCTGTACGAGCTGAAATCTTCGCCAAGTTCCCCATCAAGGAGGAATACGACCAGCGATTGAAAGATTTCCTCATTGAGCGCCAGAGGCATGAGCTCTGGAACAAGGAGATCAAGGAGCGTCTGCTTGCCGAGTATGGCCCGAATGTGGATCCAGCCTATAGAGGCAACATGCTGAGTGCTATGAAGAAGATTGTCCTTGATGGCGATGAGTCTTTCGGGGTTGTTCCTCCTTGGCCTTTGCGGGATCCTGAGGGATACTACGATATTGAACGAGCGCGGCAGTTTATTCGAGAGCATCACAAGGAAGTTGGCGATGCCGCTATTACCATTAACCACCAAAAATACCTGCAGGCCCTCGAGAAAAAGAAGAAGCAGCAAGAAGTTGACGCTAGAGAGGAGAGGGATGTCCAGAATGACGGAGGTACCTCCCAGAAACTGTGAGTTGGTCCAGCCAGTCGGTATAGGGCTGGGTTACTGTCGGCTGGTCATCTTGGGATGCGTTTGTCATTTTCTCTCTCATATTTGTCTGTTTTTAACATTGCGAACTGCCGGTGCTGGTCTCCAAGGCTCTTAAGAAACTGTTGAATGGTTGCCCCAGCTTGGACTACATTTCGAAATCAATAGACTCTATATATATCGCTTTTGCATAGTAGTGGAGGTCTTTAGGACTATGTTTTATTTGGCCTCTAGTTTGAAGGCATTTCCATAGAAGCAATTCCCAGTTTCTAGTCCAAGTCTTCAAGAGATGGAGAAATCTAATTCAATGTTTTTGGTCTTCTTTATCTCAGGAAACGCATTTTCATGTCTTCGAGTGCCAAATGCCATAACGTCTCTCCACGCCAAAGTATATTGATTCCAATATGTTTCTTCCCAACCACACCCATGAAATCTGAAGCATCAATATTGAAACTGTCCAGAAGTCCCCGGTTGCACTTTCCATCCTTCTCTAGTCCTCTTTGGTCTGTCTTTCCTTCAAATCACTCCCAAGTGCAGATTCAATGTACCTTTTCAATTGCTGCCTTGCTAGTTCCATTGCTCCTTCCCTTTCCTCTGGTGCCCCTGACTTACATGCATCATTACCACCGCCAACTTCAACTTCAACTTCACATCGTAGTTTCAACATCACGAACCCTTCATCCCTTATTCTTCTAGCCTCAATCACGCATTCAGATCAGCAGAATTCTTAAGCTTAGGATAGAGCTATTTAAAATATCTGCCCTTGTTTAAAACCTTTCCAACTTCTTCTCCTGTGTTTTCCTGTGAAAAAAAAAATTCCATCAAACACCACTATCCGCCCTCCCTTGGGAGAAGAGAAAACATCATATCCCATCTATTCCTCAAGTTTTAAAGCGTTTATTAATTCTTGAGAGAGCAGAAATCAAGCGATCTCACAATGTCCAGCAACGGCGACAAAGCCGCGGGCGGTGGCGGGAAGAAGACGACCAAAGTCCGGTTCTCCCTCGACACCAAACCCAACGCGGACTCTTCCAAAGATAAAGCCATCGACAGTGACAGGATGGATCTCGACGACGTGGCGTCTCTGCATTTTTCTAACGGCAACATCGCCCCCGACTTGCTCGACGAAGCTACTGAAGCCCAACGAGTGCTCGAGAACTATTACGCTTCTGCCCGACAAGAGGGTGAGGCAGTCAAGAAGCCCTGGGACCCTAAGCAGAAAGGCAAAGAACCAGCTCCGGAAGGCACACCCATGAACGACTCCAACCGGGCGGCCACGAACCCTAGCACCAAGCCCGCCAGTGATTCAAGCGGCCCGTCTTCTCCGGGCGTGAATATCAACCTCAAGGTTTCGTACACACCTGACGGGGATGCTTACCTCACCATCGTTCCTCCCAAGCCTGGTGAGCCCATCGACGACGCGCTTCGCGAGCTCTTGTCACGACAAGCTGAGCAGGCTGTCCAAAATTCACATAATAAAGATCGCGACTGGGCTGGAAGACCTCTTCAACCTCCCCCAGGCCTCCCTCCTAGACCTTCCCCTGCATCCAACCTCAAACATTTACGTCAGTCGACTGCACGCAGAGCGTCTCTTAGGCCCAGAATGTCGTCCAACGTCCCGTTTCCCGATCTCTCCGGCCTCCCTTGGCCCGGAGATGAGGATGTCGAGAGGGAAATCCATCAGATGCAGCAGCCGAAGACTCTTTCGAGCTATTGGTGGATGTCTCGCGAGTGGCGTCGGGCTTTTGAGAAGGAGACCAGCTTGGCTCACGTTATTGAGATGCAGCGCTATGTGAGTCGTGCCTCTTCCAGAGGAACATTTCTCTTCTGTCCCCCTCTTCCCTGTTTTCCTCTTCTCTGTCTTCCTATCATGGCTTCCTAACGCAATTGACCCTGTACCAGGCTCTCACGGTCCACCCTGACATTGATAATCTGGTCAAGTGCGGCCAGGTCAATATCGGAAACACCTCGTTCCCAGTACAGATTAATCAACTCCCTCAGCCTCTGAAGAGTATGTGATGTGACCGCTCCCCTTCTGTCGAAGTTCAAGAGGTATTGGGACGGGATCTTTTACTGACGTCTGCCCCATCACCATAGAAGCCTGTGAGAGCTGCAACTACAAGACCGACTGTCACTGTGTGTCGTGCAAATCATGCTCCACTTGTGTCACGACCGGCGCTTGCAAGGATTGTGACTGCTGCCAATTCGATTGTTGCTGCCGCAATCCCGAGAATATGGGAGAAGCATGCGCCGAGTGCAACGCGTGCGGCAATTGTTCCTGCTGTCTGGGCTGTTGCTGCTGCGGCACCACCTTGGGGCCTTCCATTGCGGTCCGAACCTCCGATACTGTCGGCTGCGGTGATTGCCGTGGTCAGCGACGCAAGTGGGAGGAGTCGGGAGATTGGAAGCTGTTCGCTAAGAAGAGTGCGGGTGGCGATCAGAAGGCGATGAGCAAGGCCCCGCGTGTGTACGTTGGCCAGCCGCGACTCATCCAGAAAGCAGAGCTCCAGAAGATCGAAGAGGAGCACATTAAGAACATGGCCAAGGAGGCCGCCGCCAGGGAGGTTTCTGCCAAAGAGGCTGCTGCTAAGGCGAGCCTCGAAGTGAAGTCCATGCCTCAGGTAAAGGCTCAATCAATGTTGCCCCTCCCCAAGCGGAGCTTCGAGGTCAAGGACCCTATTCTTGAGGACGACGACCAGCAGGGCATGCCCCGTTTCAATCGCGCTGCTAGACGCCACCGCGCTGCCGTGAATCGCGTGGCTCAAGGAGTTGTCACCATTCCCGAGGAGGGCGAGAAGAGCCCCCGAAAGGAGGAGAGCAAAGAGGCTGCTTCCGGATCAGGCAGCTCTTCCAAGACGGCGACCAACCGTCCTCGGCTCACCGCCGCCAGCCAGGATACCAAATCAGACACCGCCGGCTCCTCCAACGGCCAAGCTGGAACTAGCCCTGATATCCATACCAAACTGGCCGGGCTCACATTTGCCTTAGATGTCCTCCGCGACCTCGAACGTGATGGTGGCGTGTTCCTCAGTCAGCAGACAAGGGAGCGCCTGCGAATGACGGACCCTTCTGGCCGCTATGGGAACCAGGAAAACATCAGGCCTCCTCGCCAGGCCACGGGCCGAGTGCGACGACCTCTTCCCCAGCTTCCCGTCCAGCAGTCTGTTGAGACGGGTTTCCGTGTTGCCTCTGCTGTCCGAGGATCTTCTTCGTCCTCCGTGAGTGGTCGAGGCCAGATGGAGCATCTTCTGGTTACGAAGAAGCGCGTAGAGAGCAAGGATGCCATTGCCAGTGACGCCATGGGCATTGACGAGGCTGAGGAGAACCTGGAAAGAAGTGAGCTTGGCGATGACAAGATGGAGAAGTTGCCCGTTTCGCCTACCATTCGCCATGTTTAGGTCCCGAATACTCGAATACTCAAGATGCAATTCGGCTACTTGATTCAAGAATGTAGGTTTGATTTTGAGTTGACTTGGGAATGCGGGGGATAAGATGCTAATGACTTTCCTATTCCAGGATACCCGAACGGAACCCCTCCGTCTTATCGACTTTGTTACGGCCCCAGCTGCAAGCGTTTTTCTTCATGAGTTTTACGACCACGGCATGATTACGGAAATTGGTTTTGAGGATACCCAAGACCCTGGATGCAGGATTCCAAGGTATTTTCTTTATAGGATCTTTCATGATACCCATTAGGATCCCCTGGCTTGGGGTTTCGACTCGATTTTAGCGAAAGCCAGCTTAGTTAAAAGCGGCATAAAATCAAAACGAGATGTTTATTACAAGAATCGTGCACATGGAGTAGTTGGTAGCGTAGGCATGAAGAAACCAGTGATCGATGGCTTGACTTTACATTGCGCATTTCACATTGTATTTTGCACCGGACCATCTCTCCCGAAAATGAGTTGAGAGTTTTCTCGCAAATGTCCCGTCTTTATGCTCAAGGTGAAATTGTACAAGTCCATTCAAAGTTGACGATTCCTCGTCTCGTCTCGTCTCGGCTCGAACATTTACAACCACATGGCCCAGTCGCCGATCGTCTCCTTCGTCAACTGTCATCAACAAAAAATCCGCTCCGTTCCCACTCCTTCCAGATCCAGTACGCACCTCAATCCAAATGCATACACCACAGCCCATCCCCAAGAAAATGCGCATCCTCAATAACCGGCCCCTTCTTCTTCTCCTTCACCTCCCTCGTCCCCACAACCAAAACCCCGACAGCGCAAGCCTCCACCTTCCCCTCGGCCTTAACGACCACAACCTCCCCCTTCTCCAACTCCCTACTCCACCGCCCGTCGACCTCGCCCTCCCCTTCCTCCCCCGTATCCCTCTCCTCGGGTAATCTCCCGCCCGGGCTCGTCAACCCCGGGGCCATGAGCGTAGCGCCCGAGAGCACGAAGCGCACGGCGCCCCTGTCGATGCGTACGGAGGGAAAAGCGTCCGGGTATCGGTGGACGAGGCGGAGATGGGGCACGATGGGCCCGTGGTTGCCCTCGGGTTGGAAGAAGAGCGGGGTGGATGCGTCGAGGGCGTAGAGGACCGCGCGGTCGGGGAGCTTGATGGCGGTCAGGTCGGATTTTTTGGGGAGGATGGCGTCGATGTGGGGGGTTAGGAGGGGGAAGGTGGTGAGGAGGGATTGGCGGAGGGAGCGCTGGACGGAGGATTTGAGCTTGGATTTGGTTCCGGGGGTGATGCTGGCAATAGAGAGAGAGAGAAAGAGAGGATTTTGGTTAGCCTTGAGGGATTGGTTCTTTAGAAGGGCGTAGAGATGGAGATATGGCTTATTTGTTTGTTGTTGATTTACTCTTTTTTGAACATGGTGGGGTAGTTTTGGTCTCGTCGGAGCGAGACAAGAGAGATCGTAGCTTATTGGGGTCTTGCTTGGATGTGGGATCTTCGGGTTCAGAGATTCGGAATTGGTTTGGTTCGAATGGCTCGGCGCTCGCAGAGATGGCCTGGAAACAGGATAAGGTCCTTTCGCGTCGCTCGAAGAAAGTGGTGATGTTTTCGGATGGGAAAGAGGTTGAAGGAAGCTGCTACGCGAGCAGAAAACGAGCGTTTGAAGGCAAGAGTGCCCCGCAGTCAGATTGAGCAAAAAGTGGGCGCATGCGCAGGTACAAGGTACCTCGATGGCGGGGTAATTTTTGAGGCGGGAACGGACGAGACACGACCATGACACCACGAACACATCATGAAGCGAACCTCGCTCTCGAGTCGGTTGTTGGGATATCAAAATTTGGGGGAAAATCATATTATTTTTTTTTCTATTTTGTGATTCGTGTTTCGCGTAGGTATTCACTCCAAGCAATGGGCATCCTCCGTTCTTCTCCCCGCGCTTAACCGTAGTGCACATACGCCACCGTCCCGTCCTCCTTCACCTGCACATTCAGTCTCTCAGGGCGGTAATCCTTCGTCACTATCTGTCCGGGCGCGATGACGCGGCACACCTCAGGCAGGTCCCTTTTGCAGAACATCTTGAGTTTTTGAGTTAGCGAGTTGCTCTGCCTTTTCTTTGGGAATGGAAAATCACCGGAAACATGGGAAGCGGGGGAATGTTGAAGACAAGGAGGACAATGCAAGAGAAGATTCAATTGATGGAGGAGACAAAGGAAATAAAGAGCCAGACAAAAAAAATCATACCGTCTCACTGGTCGTGTCCTCGGACAAGGTCTTGCCAACGAGTTTGCGCGTCCACTCCTCCGTCTTGTCTGGCGCATTAGTTGTCTCGGGGGGCACGACGAGGGGCATCTTGAACTGCTAAAATGGAAGGGGTATCGTTTTCTGGCAAGGTCCGCAAGTCGTCAATTGTAGATACGCGTAGGGTAGTCAAGAATAAAACCGAACGAAAACGAGGTCAGCAATTGAAAGAGGCAGATAAAGGGAAATTCAATCAAGTCAACGTTTCAGGGGAGTTGAAACAAAAGTCAGCACAGCCTTTGTAAGTCGAGCCTTCAAATCCAGAAACGCGGCACCTCCCGATGACGTCGCGTCGTCTTTCTTGGTTGGCCCAAAACGAAAACTGCCAAAAGGGCCAAGGAAGGAACAAAGCACACGAGGGAAAAGGGAAAATCTCGTGGAAGACATCAATAGTCTGCCCGATTCTCAGCAGTTACACAGTCCTCGCCCTCACATAAATCACAAAATATTGCCGTCACACCATAAATATATATATCATCGATGGATGGGTTCACAAACACGCTTGAGATTAGGCACTGAAAAGACCATAATATCGTATATAACAACTATCGGCCCTCCGTGGTTCATATGAATTATGACCAGGCCATGTCCATACTAGCAAATTCCGTCCAAGCAAACTTTCCTTTCCCTTTCCCTTTCCCTCGTTTCCCTCGAAAAAAAATCACTTCTGTGCTGATGTATTTGGATATCACTTCCGATGCTATGCTCCTGGGCTCCCGTAATAATAATACATGGGTTTGCCAGCGGCCCAATGCCACGGCGGACAACTTTCTAATACCGGGAGTTGAAATACACGATGACAAGAGAGATAAAAGAAAAAAAAAATCAATAGGAAAAAGGAGATGAGAAGGAAAACACCAGTGAAGAGGAAGGACAAAAAAAGAACAAGGAAAAGGAAGTGGGAAAGGTTGCTGTCCCCCGACGGAAGCGTCTCCGGTATCCCTGCGCGCAAAAAAAGGGAAAGCCGGTTCGCCATAGAGGAAAAAAAAGACTTGCGGGTAATAAAAGAAACCCCCAGGTTCTCGAGGCAATATGAGCAGCTCGAAAAAAGAAAAAGAAGAGGAATAAAAAAAAAGAAGAAATCGAGAGAGAAGTATTGAGGGCCGAGGTGTGGGGGTGCACTGCCATTTTGCCTAGACCGTTTAAGACCTAGTGGAGCGTAGGGCGATGCATCGCGGAAACGTCTCCGTCTCGTTGTTCCTGCACCTACTCGATGACTCGCGTGACCCAACACATAAAATTCTCATCGTCGCAAAGCTCCTCCATGGCATCCCGCGGGATCGTCAGGAGAACTTCATATTCATCAGAAGACTGACGCGCCGGCAAGATCAGCGTACCGCCCAAGTTCCAATGGTCCTGGGAACGCCGCAGCGCATCCGCCTTGATGATTCCGCCGCCCACTCCCTTGGCACCAGGTCCCTCGCCGTAGAGGTCCCACTCAGTGTCGGCGCCGAAGTCGCGCCAAGTATTGAAAGCGAGGTCCTGCGGAATTCGCGGGTCGATAAGCAGGCAGAGGCTTCGTGGATCAGGAGCCGCCTCAAATAGCTCGACGCGCTGACGGACGAAGTCGTCGTCAATCTTTCGGATGGCCGCCTCGACCTTGCGCACGAGCCGGGCCCAGAACTCGGGCTTCTCGCAAGCCAACTGGAGCTCATCCTTCTCCACGCACGTCTGCGCCAGCGTGGCCGAGTTGCCGTAGTACGATTTGTTCTCGTCGCGGAAAGCCCTGAGGCGCCAGTTGACTGGGTTCGTCATCATCGCGAGGCCGTCGCATTCCCAGCTTTCTTCCTCGGCCTCGAAGTCCATTCGAGCCTGCGCCGCGTGGGCCCAGAAGAGCGTCGCAAGGCAGACGTAGGACGACGGCGGTCGATCAGAAGGCGCATGCTTCATGACAAGGTCCTTGAGTTTCTGGATCTTGTCGCTCGTGAAGACGAAAATCTTGCCGTCCTTCCGATAATCGGACTCGTTTAGGCCTCCGGGTCGGTATGTAGGCTGGTTGGGGCCCTCCAACTCGAGCGACTCGACGTATTCGGGACACTTTTCAAGCAGCTGATGAAACGAAGGCGCCTTTTCGGAGCAGATCTCGTCGTCTTGCTCCTTCTTGTTGTTCTTCTTCTTCGCAAAGTCAAGGCTTCTGTTGCCGGGCACGGACACAGTCTCTCCACGGGACTGCGCAGAAAACGCCTCTAGGAACTCCTTGAGGCACTCACCGTCGCCAAATCCATGGTGCAGAAATGTGGCGAGGAGCATGCCTCCGTCAATAAAGATGATACGTACCGCCGCCACAGGTACCTCGGATTTGCTGCTCACGACAGCCCCCTGGTACGTAAACATATCGGCGCCGAGAAAGGCCGCGGCCGGGAACGACCTTTCCCGGAGCTCCTTATAATCATCGATGCGAAATATTTTTTCGCCATCCATAACCTCTAGGGGGATTTGGAAATCTGGCGACTCCCGAAGATGGATCCAGCCCCTGCGCTCGCCGAGGTGGAGCCGTCCTGCAAGATCCGGGCGAGAGCGGGACAGTTGTCTGAGCACATTTCCCAAATGGGAAACCACCTGGTCCCTCTTGGAGTTGTCCAGCTCAAAACAGAGCACCAGACGGATATGGAACCTCGAGCTTGCCTGATCCCATAGGGAGAGTGGCGTGCTGGTAGAAACGTCTTTCTTCTCTGCCATTGCACTAGTGGTCTATTGTTAGAGAAACAAACTGTTAGTGACACTCACACTCTCATTTCCTTAATTCCTGCAAGACCAATAAGCCTCTTACCTTCAATCTAACTCGCTGCTTGAAGCGGGTTCGTGGGTGGGTGTGGGGAGTGATTCGAGCTATTGGGAATGCTGGCGAAGTGCCTGCAGTGTGATATATGCACAAGGATATGATTAGTCGCTTTTCCACCAGGTTTCCTTGTAGCTTAGAAGGCTTGGCGTGCTAATGTGTGAAGATAAATGATGTGCAACCTGCTTTTGCATCAAGGAAAAGGGCCTTGTGCGTAGGGTAGACTGGGGTGAAGGATTGGTGCAGAAAGGGGGGGGGGGATGAACAACCAAAGACCAGCCAAGGCTTCACCGAAAAGAGGGATGGAATGCTACTTTGAAAGAAAAGGGTATAACCTTACCTTGAATATGGCTAGCAGCACCTCTTTGCCGTTGATGGGTAAGTGCCGAAAGTGGAAGTGGAAGTGGACCATGCAGGTCAGCCTGGCCCTGTCCTGGTGTGGCTCGAAGTCGTATGTTGAGTCGCTCAGTGTGCGGTATGGCAAAAGAGCTGCCTGGATTGGGAGAAGATGATATGTAAGAAAAACTGTGCTCGTGATAGGTATGGATTGATGGGGATTGGTGATGGGGATTGGTGATGGAGGAAATGGGGTGTTCAGAGATGTATGTGTGTGATGGTAGAGGAGGAAGCTGTTGAGCTGGCCTGTGAGGTCTATTTCAAGGGAAGCAGATCAAAGGAATAGGATAGGGCCAAGATATGGAGAATAGCTTGATGAATGAATGAACAGCTATGGTGAACAGGCAAGAAACAAACAAGGACCCTATTCACTTACGCAAAGGAATCTCTTCTGGGAAAGAGCACCTCATTTTGAATGATGGCGATGGCAACCGAGGATTGTAAACATCAGTGTGTAGAATAGCAATGTGCTTAGATCAGGAATGTCCCTTTATGTGGGAAGGAACGGAAGACCAGGTAAACACTCTCTCGGGGAGGGAGGTTGGAGCTAGGAGCTGGCACAAGGCTCTAGGCAAGCTTGAAAGGGCGGCGGCGACAAGGACGAGGCGAAAGGGTGGTTCCCGAAGGAGACAAAAGAGACAAAAAAGGTGTCGTGGACAAAGATCGGGGACCTTTGAAATAGAAAACCGAAGAACAATGCTTCAGCGGGGAAGCAACAAGGCCGTTGGACCAACAACAAGATGGAGACTCCAGAAGAATACAAGAAGCCGGAAGCATCAATATGAGCAATGCAGTCCAGACGGATATCTGGTAGGTTTTTTGGGGACGTAGGGGCGATAAAAGCACAGATCCAAGACTGTCAAGAAAAAAAAATGGCGATGGAATGTCCCACGGCGTACTTTTGCTTGAAGGCTGTTAAGTCTTTTTATCATTTGCCCTCCGACCAGACCCGAATCCTACATGTAGGAAGCCGCGGCTAGATGGTCCGATGCGATGCCGTTGTTCTCGGCCAGACTCAGCTCATGAGTGGAAGAGAAGTTTCGGACTGACGAAGTCTACGTGTGGCCAAGAGATCCTTCTTCCGTCGCACACAACGAAGAAGGAAGGCGGTCATAGGTTGACCGTCACGAGATCTAGGCCGGGCTGGTGCAGTCGGCTCGGCCACAGGCGTAGCCGTAGTGGTTGTCTTTATGTCGTGCTCCTCTTTCTCGTACGCTGCTGTCGAGCTGACCGGCCTGTTGTGTGCCCTTCTTCTTCTTTCTTTTTCTAATTTTTTTTTTCTGTGCCTCCCGGGAGGCGAACCGAGTGATGAGCAAAGTGAGACCACGCAGGAGCAAAATAGAGAAATGAGAGGGACGGGGCAAAAGCAAGGCGAATCCGACGCAACACATCAAATACGTGTACCTTTGCTCGCCTTATAGTCTACAACGACCATTGGATGAAGAGAGTGAATCCAGGAGCAGTAGACATAGCTATATCACCAGTCGCACGTAGGAAGTATGGGGAGAAAGTATAAATATAGAGCGGCCCATTGGGCAATCGGGGACGGTGGGACACGATGGAACAATGGCGGTGCCAGCAGACCGATCAACGGGTGTAACTGGGCTAGGTACTTGAGTACGAGGAAGGGCTGGTCAATAGGCACACTCGGGCCCTCGCCCCTTGTCGCTCGTTACGAGCAACTACCTATAAATAATAACTATAATGCGTCTGTGTCTGACTCAAGGCCACGCTTCGTGTCTTCTCAGGGACGGTTTGTGCCCAACTCGGAATTCGCGACAAGTTTTGGCCAGCTAATCATGGACTGAACCAGGGCTATTTTGCGTCAGGGTACAGGTATGCTTCGCCCACGACCAATTAGGCGAATGCAAGAAGT